ACTCTACTAATTTTTATATATTTTTTCGTTGCCACAGAATTAAAACCAACAAGGCGAATCAACGGACGTTGGATCACAGATTTTAATAAAACTTTCTTTGTCTAGGTCGAAAAATTTTTGACACTTGTTCGAGCGTTCTTGCCAAGGAGCCGGGAAAAAATATTTTAAGTAATTTTTAATGATGACGGTGCGTGTTAGTGTGTCGGGGAAATGATGCTGAACCGCCACATGTTTTACTTACTGGGTCGTCTACACTTCCGAATGAGTTGTCTGGCATCTTACAATTTAACACAAAACAAAACCCCAACAAACAATAACAAGCCTTCAAGGACTGTTGTAGCTTTATTTTTGGATCTACCAGTCGCCACGCGTATCATTTCGGAAAAATTAGCGTTTTACATGGTAAGAAAAAAAGAGAGCGTTTACGATCTTACATGCGTTAACATCTAACAAACATCGAGAATACCCCTATTTTTTTCTCAACTAACGTTTTGGTATTAAAAGTTATAATAATGAAAAAAGGGCCTACACGGCCAATAACAGGCCAGTTTAACAAACCAAGATCTCTTTTGACATCCAAATCTCTTCCTTAGAGCTTGGAAAAGATAAAACGCGTTCGCCTTTTCCTTTTGAATCAGAATAAAAGCAACCTGGAGATTTGCAAAAGTCCATAGAAACCTTTATAAATGAGGGCTGGAAGGGAATAATTTCAAATTTTTTAAAAACCCCTTTGAAACGCGAGGATTCCCAATAAAGATATGCCTTCCCTTATCCCAAACGATAATTTGAAACGGAATGGTACCCATGGTAACAACAACTGCGTATATCCATGCACACAGTGATATCAAAATGAAAACAGGTATCAATCTAACTTTCTTGGATTTTAACCTCGACTATTGATAATCATGAAGTGGCTAAACAAGTTTTAAAGAGAGATATAAACACTGATCTTGAGATAGGTTGAAGTGACTATTTCAATGATTAATCAGTCTGGAAGTGGTTTTCAAAATATTATTATTTAGTGAGTACTATCAATAAATAACAAAATAAATCATTAAACATGCAAACATACATAATATTTTTTATGTTATTAAAATAAAACCATAGAGCAAATTGCATGGTTATTCGAACGTTTTGACTTTCACTTATTAAAAAAAATGGAACGAATGGTCAACATTCACTAATGACGGCGAAGCGGTTTAACCAAAAAAGGCGACCCGATTTAATGTTAAATAAAAGAAATTCAAGTTTAAAGAAAGAGGTGTTGGCAAAATGGATGTGGGCGAAGGGAGAATAGTCAGGGCTTTATTTGGTGGTTATAACCCAGAAGATACCTGCCACGTTTGAATTTTATGTATTGACTGATTTACCTCTCAAAAACAAAAGACTGCTTTACAACACCGCAGTGAAGGATATGGAAGTGTGTGGTACAGTCAAACATTCCAACAGCCGCATTTAAACAGCCCAATCCTTAATCCTACCAAAAATCTTTGATGCTCTATTTTCGGTCTCAAACCTAACTCCACATACAACTTCAATTTTCCTTTTGTTCAAGATAAAATCCGCTCCCGTAACCACAAATTTGACAACCGTAATCTCCCAACCACTGTAAATTAGCACATCCAGAACCCTCCTCGCCGGCTGAAGAGACGTGGGCCGCGAGACCTCCTAAAGTGATTTTGACACAAGCGTTAATTAAACAGGCAACATTATTGGAGCACTACCAATGAGTATTTTCTCCGCTCTTGTTTGTTGTATATATTTCCTAATTCAGTGCTATGTACAAGAGGGTAGCTGTAATGTACTGCAAATTATAAAAAAATTATAATAAAAAAGAAGTGCCAAGTTGGTAAATCCAACATCGAATCTTCCGAAAATGATTGGATCGGATATCAACAGTCAAAGTGGAAAAAAATCGTATAACGTTAGGGATGATTCTGTCAATATTGTGCTCGAATTAAAGGTTTTGCCGAACCTCACTATGACATAAATTGTCAAAGGGACTTTTAACCTATTATCAAAGGTACAATAATGGAATAAAATGATCGTTGAAATATGATAAAAACGATGATAAAAATCTTACGAAAACAAATAATTTGTACGGTCATAAATACCTAGAAATTAAATTATCTTGCGACCTTGATCTCCTACTCGCCAGAATCTCATTAAGAAACAAAACATGCATAGTAATCTGCTGGGAATCGTAATCTCGAGACGACGTTCAAGGCTTTGGAATCCATTCCAGACCCTGTTCTTAAAAAATGTCCTTTTTTAATGGAATATCAATGGAGTTACTGAATTTCAAGTTGAAAAATCCATTTACATGCTGTATTTTTTTTTTTTTTAAGAAGTTGGATTATTTATATATTGTGGAGACAAGAGCCGATGAAGTTGCCAAGGCGAAGTTCAGACTCGTTTATTTATGTCTGGATTCGCGAGGAAAGGCAGACTGCGTGACGCCAGAACCGTTTTCACCTCGACTTTTGCGCCCTTTCCCACCTTGCTTAAATGCCGTAAATATTAATATTTATGCTGCACTTAAAAAGCTGGTTATTTGTTCTCAATCTAAATAAAAAAAACGGAACAAACCTAGAATATTTGTTACGTTAATTCATTCGCGTGACTTTTTTCAGAATGATAAACAAATTCTGTTTACTTACAGGTCTGAATTACAGTAAGACTGAATTACTCGCATTATCGATAAATGTAATTTTGTAACGAGACAAATATTGAGTCATTTTAGAACAAAAATCTGTTCATATTGTAGTTCAGATTAACATTCACATTGGATATTTTACATTTAACCCGTTAAGTATTAATCATGCACGGTTTGTTTTCTTACAAAGTAACATTTTATAAATTCAAATTAATCCTCCTAACATCAAATTGATACTTTTTAATTGCGGTCCTTTCAAATTACCATTAACTATTTTTTTTAAACCAAAAAAAAGCTAAAACTAAAATTAAATATAAAATAATGGGGCTCTTGGAAGATGATATTAAAATAACTTATAGTTAAAACTAAAATTATTTAAAATTATATATAAAAACAAAACTTTTTAAACATAAAATAATTGGGTTCTTAAAAACTTAATTTTTTCTTCACTTTTCTCAAATTAAAAAAAAAGGAATTCTTTATTTTGGTATTTTATTTTATGTAATTGTAATTAATTTTTAAATGACCTTCTAAATTTCACTTATTTTATCTTAAACGAAATTCTCAAATATACGCGATTATATTTCATATCATCTAGTTTTTTAATGTTTTAATGAAACAGTTTATTTGAAATTGGAAAAGTTCAGTTTGAAGTTAAAAAGCGATAATTTGAAATAAAAGAACAAACAATAATTTAAGTAAGAAAATGGTTACTTTGACATTTAAAAAGTGTAAATTTGAAGTTTAAAAGTGTTAATTTAAATTTAAAAAAAAGATTAACTTGAAATTAAAAATGGAAACCTTGAATATTTAAAATCGGATAGCTTAAAATTAAAAAGGACTAATTTGAAGTAAAAATGGTTTAATTTAAAGTTAAAAAGTTAGATTTTAAATTGAAAAGAATAATTTCAAATTATCAATTCAAAAATAAATTGTTAATTTAAAATCACATATTTACTTATAGACGTTATCTACGCATTACATAGACCACGAAAAGGTGAAAAACATTAATATTTATAATAAAAATCCGTTTTATTATTACGTTGTTTGTTAATAATTATTTATAATAATTTACACAACAATTTTTTCAAAAGTACATAAATAAAACACGTATGCAACGGAAATGCCACCTGTGCCTCATATCACTCCCTTGTGTTGTAAGTTGGCACTTATTTTGAGTAGTCTATATATAGTACAATTGAGAAAAAAGTTAAAATTAATTAAAGGAAAAAAGTAATTGTATTATTTATTTTAAGAAAAAGAGACATGTACTTATATATTTATGTTCAACCGATTGAACCAATATGACCACGTTGTGGGTTTTTTTTAAATTTTATATTATAATGCTATATTTTTTTAACTAACTCCACACTGTTCATTGTTTTAGATACTGAGCTTCACCTAATTTTAATTAATTTTTAATTTTGTTATAAATGTAGTTCTTTCTCTCTAGATATCGAGTTAAAGTAAGAAAAATAATTGTTTGTAATTTTGTTTTTGAAATGATATCAAATCTTCTATTTGCGATATTTTCACTAAATAAATAGGCCCTGATGATGACGATATAAACATCGAAACCTCGGCAAAAACGAAAAGAAATGTCGTTTCTGTTGTGACCTCGCCGAAGATCCTTCTGTGCAAGTTGTTACAAATAAAACAATTATTATCTATGCAATTATTTATCAAAGGTGCAACAATTAATCTCTATTTTTCGAATTATTTTTATCAAATAATAGAGGGAATTGCTCCTAGTTAAGTTAAATTAAAATTAGGCTACCTAGTAATTATTTTAGTATGGATGGATGGACGGACGGACGGAGAGAGAGAGAGAGAGAGAGAGAGAGAGAGAGAGAGAAAAAGAGCGAGAGGGAGAGGGAGAGAGGGAGAGAGAGAGAGAGGGAGTGAGTGAGAGAGTGAGTGAGAGAGAGAGAGGGAGAGAGAGAGGGAGAGAGCGAGAGAGCGAGAGAGAGAGGGAGAGATAGTGAGTGAGTGAGAGAGAGGGAGAGGGAGAGAGAGAGAGTGAGTGAGAGAGAGAGAGAGAGAGAGTGAGGGAGAGAGAGACATAGATAGAGTGAGTGAGTGAGTGAGTGAGAGAGAGAGAGAGAGAGAGAGTGAGAGAGAGAGGGAGAGAGAGAGGGAGAGAGAGGGGAGAGAGAGGGAGAGAGAGACATAGATAGAGTGAGTGAGTGAGTGAGTGAGTGAGAGAGAGAGAGAGAGAGAAAGAGAGAGAGACCGGACCTACAGAGAAATATTTATAAATGTATCATTCATCATCATTGTTTAGAGTTCATATTGTTTTATCGTGGTATTCCAAAGCAATCTGCCAGGGCTTCTGATAATACACGAAAAGGGGCGCATTGCGCGTTATTGAGTTATTGAGACGGGGGAATGATGAAATGGACAAAACGGAGCCGGAGACGTGCACAGGCCGAAATGAAAGTGGGCCGGTCACGTTTCGAAAATGGGAGTACAAAAACAGATATAAGCGAAGGCCAGTAGGAAGTCGATGATGCGATGTTGCATACTCTGTTCCTCTCTACAAACATGTTAACATGCTCAAAATTCAGACAAGAAATCTAAGGAATTGAAGGTATTTCTTTTCTTTAAAACGGAAATAGTGTACGTGAAACTAACAAAGTATTTGTTTGTAAATGTTGAGTTGTTATAAATGGGTTCAACGGAAAACAAACACACTTTTATTAAACTATTTAACTTGATATTTATTTTATTTTTTTAAATTATTACATTTTTCTCCTGTATTCTTTTTCCCACTGATCATATTGAGTGCTTCGGTTAATAATTTTTTGATGTTGAGTAAATTGATATGTTGTTTTAAATCGAATTGATATAGTATTCACGTGAATTCGGCATTGTTATTTATCTGGTTTTAATAATGTTTGAATTGACAGAGTAATATGGTTTTTCAGATATTTGTTAACTGAAAAATTTCTTTTATACATGCCGTCAAATTCAATTAAAAACCGCGTTAACAAAAATTGTTTCAAAGTTAATTGTTCAAATTATACAATATAGCAGGTAGAGAATTGTAACATTTTGTATTTGAAAATGCCATTATGATTTTCAACCAGCAATTCCTGACGCAAAGCAACAAAGTTGATTTCGTTCTGATGCCTATTCTGGCCGTTTTTTATTCACTCTTTATTTGGGCTTCTGGTGCTTTTGACTTTCTAAATACTTACCATTTGGATTTACACCATTCTAATTCAACGACTCTCATGTTATATCGAAAGTTTAATTGCATCTCATACTGATAAAATAACTCCAAAAGAAATTCCGTCCAGTTTTTCCCCCGGTGAAACTTGATTGTCAGATAACTTTTGACGGTGTTTGACAAGCGTATAAAAGTTTTTTTAATCGGCCATTCACAAACCTAAGTTAAAAAATGTATCATGTCAAAACAAAATATGTATGAAATTCTTTAACCTGCTTAATTTTTACACGATACTGAAGTTTTAGATTAGCTGTACAAATTTAAATATTAGATTGGTTGAAAATTGTTGAAAACCAGAGCCAGAACCAATACCTTTAAAACTGGGATTTGTTTTATATTCTGTGCTGTTCGAAAACCCCGTTAATTTGTTTTTGTGAAAACATGAGTGATTTATGTGAGCACAACTCTGCACATACATGCACACGTAATATAGAAATTTTACTTTAAGTGCATACATTAATTACACTAACATCCTCTAGGTCTTTTATGTTTTCAGGAAAGGGTTATTGATTACTGATTTATATTTGATCAAATCCCCATACGTACATACACACATGTACAGAATGAGCCTATCACTTCTAGTAGTCCAAAGGCATTTCCAGCTTTTGTAATTTACAAAATCCTCAATAGCGAAAATATTTTAAAGGCAAACGTTTTGTTGACAATCCTTAGGCATCTTCGATCCATTCTTGTTACTAGTCTTTTATGGTTTTATTTGTTATTTCCTGCAACACCGTAATGTAAGTACTTGTGTATTGGTAATCGTTCCATTTTGTTCTAAGGCAATTCTTCGCATGCGTCAACTGTATGTTTTAATAAACACCAATCATAAGTTTTGGGTGAAAGGAAAAACTGCTAAATCCTCAATTTGAATAATAAATTTAATTTATTTATTAGCCTGCTCTCTTGATTACAGGCTTATATAATATTAGTACAATATGTTTTTCGTTTTATAACAGTTATGAAAAGGAATCATTCCACTTTGACCACTTTGGTGACAATATTATTACAATATTTTTAGTTACTGAATTTTTCCAAAGTCCATATTATTAATAAATAAATTTACAAACGTCGTTATTACACTTTTTAAAATTAATCAATACATTTTTAGCGGTCATAATTGACAATATTAATTATTCTCATTCACTAGTTTTCGTGGTCCGCTTGACCAATATTAATTATTTCAATTAATTATTATTTTTATCTAAGATGTTGGTTGAGATAAAAATAATAATTAACGGATTTTTTAAAAAATAATTCTTGCATTATGGTAGGCCAGTTTTTGGTGAGGTCTTGTAGATTCATGCAGGTGGCAGCGTAGAAAAATGTGTTCCCTAGATCAAGTTTCCTAGTCCTGCAGAAGCACTGTTCATCATCCTTTAGTTTAAATTTTCGGAGATACTGCTTAGCTTTTCTTAAAACTTGGGTCGGCTTAAATGAGTACTGGAAATCTAGTTCCTTCCACGAGTCAATTTTCATAAAGAAAGCCTTTGTCCATTTCCCTGCTCTTGCAGTTGTGTTCAGGCTCGTAACCGATTTTTCAACGACTTTCGTATGAAAGGATAAGTCCACGAAAGCCAACCCTAATTATGTTAATAAACAAAAGTAGCTGTCAAAAAGTTTATCAACAAAGAAAAACAAAGTTACGCTAATGATATTAAAACATGAACTTAATATGATTGAAATTATATAAAAAAACTCAATTTCATTGTTTTCAAACTCAATATAAATTTGTTTTTTGCTTCTATGTTATACTATTTCTGGACTCTTTTCTCTTCAATCTGACAGAAATAAAAATTTATCGACTTTCAACTATCTTATTCTTGTGTCTTATTTCGAAAATGAATAGTATATTATATACTATACCGTGGTCATAACCGGCCCTTTGGTTATATAATTATGCATTTTTTTTCACAGATCTATTTCACAAACTCTCTCATATTTGATTGGGAAGGGATAATTTGTGTGGAATGCGGAGGTTATGTGGGTGTATTTTCTGCGTAAGATTTCGTTACTTTTCTTTTTACACAAAGACTTTAGCGGTGTGTGATGCTGTTGAGGTTTTCAGAAGAAACGATGGAATTAGTTGAGAAGGCCGCTGTATCATGAGCTAGGACACAATGATGATTGAGGATGGGACCAGATGCCAGCTGTTCCCACCTTGCAAAATGTGGGTCAAGAACGCCACCATGGGAATCACCATCTTACATATGCAGAGAGAAAATTGTCTTCAATGACTCGGAAAACCGGTCAATGAGAGATCTGTGAAGTATGAGTAGTAGGTGGAAAGGAAGTAGCTCAGTGTGAAGGTTATGAGGGTGGACTATGTTTTATGTTATTCTTGTGTTTTCATACCAACATGAAGTTACCATTATGGCGTTGTTAAGGTTTCGAGCGGAATCGACAGGATCAGAATTGTTGAGAGAATCACCGTATCGTCAGCAAAAGTGTGGGTGGTGGTTTGAGGGTGGGATGGTATGTCAGCTCCGTACAACTGTTAAAGTGCGAGGGGGAAGAATTGTACCTTGAGTGATACACCTTGAGTGAGATAATATGTGACGGTTGAACTGGGTTCAAAGTCTGGGAAATAACGTTGAGTTAGCTATGATGTATGAGGTAGTAAGTAGGTGGAAGGAAAGTTGCCTATGAGCCAACCATTGAATCAAAATTTTGGTTTACGTCAAGATAGGTCCCAGAAAAGTACTGCCCTAACTCAAGAGAGAAAGAGGTGTCATCGACAGTTGAGTCAGTTGACATTGAGTGGCAGTTACGAAATCTAAATTAATGGCCAGGAAATATTTTTCGAAAGTTTAGGACTGGAATAATTCTTTCTAATAGAGGTTTTTCTCGTTTTTAAATAAAAAAAGGTTAGTCGATTTATTGGTCTATATGAAGTAGTATAGTGTGGTGGTTTTTTTGTTTGTTTAGGTCTATAACCTAGGATATAGGATTGTTTGCAAGCCGTAGGGAATAGGCCTTTTTATGATGGTGTTTGAGAGGTGAGAATTTTTAGCCAATTTTAAGTAAAAATGATATTTATAATATTATTAATCGAGTTTATTAAGCAAAAAACGATCTCCTAAGATTTTTTTAACATTAAATCACGATGTCAAAGATTTTTTTTTGTTTTGATAATTTGAAATTACAGGTCCGTCACCGCACAGAATTATTTACAGTTTGGTCAACCTATTTTCACTGTTTTGGTATATGAATCTGAATATCTGTTGCTGTATAGAAATATATATTGAATTATTTTAACATTCCACGTTTTACTCGAATGAAATTAAAAAAACGTGAATAATAATAATAATAAAAATAATTGAAGTTGTGAAAATGTAATTAAAAACAGTTAAGATGGTAGGTTTCCTTTTTTGGGAGATAAGTCACACCACGTATGGAATTAATTAAGTTCTAAACCTTTTCATTCGGTATGAATAAATATCGTTGTAGTAAGACCAAGCCGATAATTCTAAAACCCACGCATAACGGCTTGCGTGGCGAATATAATTTTTTTTCATGCATAAAATTAGATTAAAGAATGAGCCAAATGTTTGATAGCCGACTGGTCAGGTGAGGCTCCAATTAGTGCCGCCAAGTTCTGTCTCGTACAGAAAACTAGGCGAATGTTTATAATTAGTCTGAGTCTGCAGATAGACCGCAAACAGCCTGAGGTACCCTGGAGAACGTCGACCTCCCAAGCATACGTTGTCAAGATATGCATTTTTCGTCGTATCTTAACTGTTTTATAAATTTCTCACTTGCTGCTATCACAATCCTTGTCCGCCCAGTTGTAGAATGTTTTCCTGGTTTTTATAAATTAAATAGCGTTAATTTCACAATTTTATTAATTAATACTAACTTTTTAATATTTTTATCAGCTTATTATTATTTATATAATTACTCAATCAATTATACACAATTTTTTTCGAAATGAAAAATTTGTGTCACAGGCGGGATTCGAACCCACGACTTACGGCTAAATACGCCGCTGCACTACCGCTTGAACTACCGTGACTTCGATCGCCCATGCCACAAACTTCTCACTTCGACTACCCGTTAATTCCAATTGTAAGCAAATCGCTGCTTCATCTAGAAGCACTTTTATTAACGATTGTACTACATTAGCGGGACTGTGTACGATTCACAGGTGTGATTCTAAATTAATACTAACTTTTTACTTAATCACTAGTTTTTGTGGTCCGCTTGACCAATTAATATCATTCAATTAATCAAGGTTTTTAGTTGTGATAAAAAGCTGTCTTCGATCTACTCGGGCACTAACTTACCATCTCAACCCCACCTTTTGAATTTTCCCTCCTTTTTGCCTTTCTTTCAACATCTTTTAAATGTCGTGTAAT